AATTAATGGAATCTTAAGATTTCTTCTCGGTTGATGATAGTAAATAATATTTCGCACTTGTGGACAGAATCTGAATGTAATGGGTGAATATTTCTAATTTTAAGAGATTTTTGACTATATTATGACCCATATCAGCTTGACCAGAAGTGGGATAATGCCTTTAAAATCTACAATTAATGGAATCTTAAGATTTCTTGTCGGTTGATGATAGTAGATAATATTTCACACTTGTGGACAGAATCTGACTGTAATGGATCAATATTTCTAATTTTAAGAGATTTTTGACTACATTATGACTCATATCACCTTGACCAGAAGTGGGATAATGCCTTTAAAATCTACATTTAATGGAATTTTAAGATTTCTTGTCGGTTGGTGATAGTAAATAATATTTCACACTTGTGGACAGAATCTTTATGTAATGGGTCAATATTTCTAATTTTAAGATATTTTTGACTATATTATGACTCATATCAGCTTGACCAGAAGTGGGATAATGCCTTTAAAATCCACAATTAATGGAATCTTAAGATTTCTTGTCGGTTGATGATAGTAAATAATATTTCACACTTGTGGACAGAATCTTTATGTAATGGGTCAATATTTCTAATTTTAAGAGATTTTTGACTATATTATGACTCGTATCACCTTGACCAAAAGTGGAATAATGCCTTTCAAAATCTACAATTAATGGAATCTTAAGATTTCTTGTCGGTTGATGATAGTAAATAACATTTCAAACCTATGAACAAAGGTCTGAATGTAATGGGTCAATATTTCTAATTTTAAGAGATTTTTGACTATATTATGACTCATATCAGCTTGACCAGAAGTGGGATAATGCCTTTAAAATCCACAATTAATGGAATCTTAAGATTTCTTCTCGGTTGATGATAGTAAATAATATTTCGCACTTGTGGACAGAATCTGAATGTAATGGGTCAATAATACTAATTTTAAGAGATTTTTGACTATATTATGACTCATATCAGCTTGACCAGAAGTGGGATAATGACTTTAAAATCTACAATTAATGGAATCTTAAGATTTCTTGTCAGTTGGTGATAGTGAATAATATTTCACACTTGTGGACAGAATCTTTATGTAATGGGTCAATATTTCTAATTTTAAGATATTTTTGACTATATTATGACTCATATCAGCTTGACCAGAAGTGGGATAATGCCTTTAAAATCTACATTTAATGGAATTTTAAGATTTCTTGTCGGTTGGTGATAGTAAATAATATTTCACACTTGTGGACAGAATCTTTATGTAATGGGTCAATATTTCTAATTTTAAGAGATTTTTGACTATATTATGACTCATATCAGCTTGACCAGAAGTGGGATAATGCCTTTAAAATCCACAATTAATGGAATCTTAAGATTTCTTGTCGGTTGATGATAGTAAATAATATTTCGCACTTGTGGACAGAATCTGAATGTAATGGGTCAATAGTTCTAATTTTAAGAGATTTTTGACTATATTATGACTCATATCAGCTTGACCAGAAGTGGGATAATGCCTTTAAAATCTACATTTAATGGAATTTTAAGATTTCTTGTCGCTTGATGATAGTAAATAATATTTCGCACTTGTGAGCAGAATCTTTATGTAATGGGTCAATATTTCTAATTTTAAGAGATTTTTGACTATATTATGACTCGTATCACCTTGACCAAAAGTGGAATAATGCCTTTCAAAATCTACAATTAATGGAATCTTAAGATTTCTTGTCGGTTGATGATAGTAAATAACATTTCAAACCTATGAACAAAGGTCTGAATGTAATGGGTCAATAATACTAATTTTAAGAGATTTTTTACTATTTTATGACTCATATCAGCTTGGCCAGAAGTGGGATAATGCCTTTAAAATCTACATTTAATGGAATTTTAAGATTTCTTGTCGGTTGATGATAGTAAATAATATTTCGCACTTATGAGCAGACTCTTAATGTAATGGGTCAATACTGCTATTTAAAAGAGACCTTTTACTATATAATCACTCATGTCCCTTTGACCAGAAATGGGATAGCCCTTTCACATGTACAAATAATGGAATACTTGTAGCTGATTTTTATTAATTATCGATTAGATATTTACCCTTGTATTACTGTAATCAAACCATGCAGAAGCGGCATAACACCTTTAAAATTTATTAACTGTTGAATATTTATAATTAATTTTAGCTTTTGAAAGTGATTAGGACCACAAACTTAGCAAATATTGAGGGAGGTCATGAGTGGTACTTTTATAGGGAGTATTATACCAGTAAGTGTGTTACACAAGGAGTGTCAGAATTCAGAAATTCTTGTATTTACCGAGTGAGGGTGAAGGTAATACATGGATTCTTACATGAGTTTTGTAAAACAGAATATGTACTGTGTTTATCCACGTTTATCCACGTAAAGCCAATCGCCAAGCACGGGTACTATCTTATTCCGTGTATTTTACCTTACCTTCCGCTGTCAGGGGTGCGATTGGTTAGCCTATTGGTGAAAGCGTTCGCTCGTCACGTCGAAGGCCCGGGTTCGATTCCCATCATGTGTTCAATGAGTAAACCCTATTTCTGGTGTCCCGTGCCATGATACTCCAGGAATGCTGCTAAAAGCAGTGTAAATACATATTCACCCACTTACTCACTCCTTATGCAGACGTCTATCCACTAGACCACTCAGGCAGTTGATTTCGTGTAGAAGTGGTCCCCAGCAACACATGCTTAATTTTAATTGTCTTACTAGGTGACTTCATGGATCGGAGGTTCAACGTCCTCCGACGTGCTGGATGTTTGCTTATAATATCAATCACTATTTTGCTCTCTGCCCATGTGGACCAACATTTTACTGCAAGAACCAGTAACAGCAAAGCTGACCATGCAGGTAATATTCCCATGATCGGATGGGGAGTCCGGCTTAGAATCGTATAATAAGAGGCGACTAACGAGCCTCGGGTAGTCAGGTTCGTTATTTGGTTGATTGCGAGACATCGTACATGTCGGCGTGGGACGTTGTTCATACTTAAACCAATCGTTTATTTACATGTATTTATATCGGGGTACATGACACACAATTAACGAAGTCACTATACAAGCATGCCCACCCGGTCCATCGATTGTGGTGCCCGTGAAGACCCGGGGTAGAATAGGTCTTTTCAGCAATCCATGCTTGCCCTAAAAGGCGACTATGCTTCTCGTAAAAGGCAACTAACGGGATCGGGTGTTCTGGCTCACTGACTTGGTTGATGCATGTCATCGTATCCCAAATGCATGGATCGTTGCTCATGATGTCTATCACTGGATTGTCCGTGTTGTCTGGTCCAGACTCGATTATTTACAGACCGCCGTCATATAGCTGGAATATTGCACAGTGCGGCGTTAAACAACCAACCAACCAACCAACCATCGATTGTCGCCTAACATGACAAGCGAAGCGGTGGGTATATTTTAAGCAATGCCCAACATAGACATACACAATGCACTGTCCATGGATCATCGTGATTTTAGGCTAGATATATAAATATATTATTTCGACTTGCTTCAATATATCTTTCCTTTATTTCAAATCGAAGCTGCCTGGTTCCTAAAACACTATGGAGTAACTATATACTCCTTTCTGTTAGGTCTGGATTACCGGTGCATGCATGCATGAGGAGTCATATCCGTCTTACCGCTTATATCTGTTAGTTATACATTTATATTTATACATTTATTATAAATTTGCACACCAAACTTCTGAGCTCGCATTACCTGCATCATGTATATGTGATAGGGTTAAGTTAAGGAGGTATTTGAGGTTACCACTAACTTGTATATGTGGGTAGAATGCCATTCTGAAACAATCGTCAATATCCAGCTTGCATACTTCTTAGCATGTTTCAAAGCTTACATTGGTCTGCATCTACAGCTTTCTGAAGTATGTATAATATAATACATCCGATACAAACCCTCTATCGTTATCTATCGTTCTGAGTGATGTAGAGTTTATATCCGATATACAAACTCCCCCGCGTCTTTCATTTATAATGATGTATATAACATGTCTGACACCCCGCGTTTCATTCTGAGTAATGTATATTTTATGTCCGATGTACCTGTGTACTTTCCCGTAACTTTGTAAAGAGGAATGATAAAACACTTTCATCTTGTGTAATTTTCGCCTCAATCTTCTGGCAAACCATATACAATTAACCCATCGAACTAATTAAAAGAAGTGGAAAGAGCTTGTCTAAATGCAGAGGCAAGTGAAATAATTGTTTTGAAATTATATAAATATGATTTCTCACATCTACTCATGTGTGAATTACAAGGATTCCCTTCAGCACAGTTACATTAAATAAATTAATGAGGATACATGTTTTGCATTTCTATTCACATCGTGGGATTGGAGGAGAACGCACGTTAATTTGGGCCACAAACAACAGAATTACGGAAAATTGTTTACAGTTACAAACAAAACAAAATCTAAATGGAATGCATAATGTGTCGAGGCTCTTTTATTTAACGGCCACAATCCGAAATATTTCAGAAACCCCTCAAGCACCGCCTTTACTTTTTTAATATGGACGATTCCATTCCATTCTATATACTATTGTGACCACAATGTGATGTAGAAACACATCCTTGATTTCAATTATTGATCTAATTATAACATAATTTGTTAAAAGAAATATCGCACAGACACTGACATTTGTGCATAAATGTGAATTGCCGCACAGAAAGGCGTGTGAATATTTGTCAAGTACAAAATAACAAAATAATAATAATACCTGAAGATGTTTCCAATTTATAGTGAAGAATGTAATGTGCGTTATTTATTTGGAATGGGACATGGAAATATACAGAAGATCATATTCAGTACGGTCCCACCCAAAATATAAACTAAATCATATTCCGCATATATATCGCCATGTGTTTTAGAGCTAACCGAAAGCATTACCGCAGTAAATGGGGTTTTGCGAAATTGTGGACTGTTTATCCCAGTTCTGGTCGTATCCCAGTTCTGGTCGCTACAAACGTCACTAAGGATACTTTGTTTGGAATTGGATCTGTGACCAAGGCTTTCACGAGTACCCTCCTGGCCATGATGTTGGATGAAAGTAATGGAAGGTATGTCAGACATAAATACACATAAAGGATACATTTTACCGATTCCTCAACTCGCGACAGTACTCCATGACACTATTTCTAGATGAGTGAATATATAGGCACGAATACCACAACCTCCTGCCTGGACATAAGTTCGTGAGTTTGGAATTGTAGATTATCAATTGTGAAAATTCTCGTAGATCACAACCAGGTTAATCTCTGAATGAACTAATGCCTGCAGCAGAGTTAGATGTCTACTTCGAGTGAGTGATTGTAGACACGCATTAATACCACAATGAACCTATATCACAATTTATGTGGTTCGATGTTGCGTCTCGTGGTTTTGAATCCTCGATTGCCCTCTGTCAACACCACATACCTGTTCTCGTGGGTTTAAAACACCGTGGACGCGAAGGACCTATGTCAGTTGGGACCTGCTTTCCCCATTACGCTGACACGCCTTGACACGACTGGATAATATATAATAGATTGTTATACCTCCACTAAGAATCTTGCAATTCCGTTGGTTTAATCCGTTCCATGTGACGAAATAATACGTTTCAATGTTGACCCCATATTCACGTGACTGACAATGACCTTGAATACGGACCCGTCACGTGATGAATACTGACTCGTCTGTTGGAAAACAAGATTGCGTCTGATACTAACATTTCGCTGTTCACAGCAACATTACTGTAATGAAACAGGGGACGGTCTGAAAGCTTCATCAATTGCAAACTAAAGTGAAATTCGGTTTAACGTAAGGAATCATTACTCTTGACTAGATCAATATGCAAAACAAAGGATCCTAGGAGCCGACCCCGAGGTTGTCCGGTCAGACCGCCGAAGGGGTAGGGTCCTGGGGTCCTTGGTTTCACATATTGATCTTGTCAAGAGTAATCATTTGTATATAATTGTCTAAAAGTAGATATAAAGCCAGGTCACTCTCACTCAAAGTAGGTGGTCATGGTCTTATTCATCAAGGGTGTTTGTTTCCTCTACTCTAACGTTGTTCCACTGAACAATATTTACGTAATGATATGTATACTCTAGCATCATCATCAAAATATTTTAGGCACGTAACGACCCGTGCCATTTAAAATTTCATTGGAAACTTTTAGTTTTCGTTAATAATGTGCATAGTATGATAGTGTATCTAATGTATAAGAATGACCACAGAACGACTAGAAGCTGTCGAGTTGTATTCACTTCCGGATATTCAAATCAAATTGCTTTGTTATAAGATCATTGTGTTATTGAGTATTCTGTAATAACAATAAACAAATAATTGTATGTAGCATTTGACTCCACAAAGTTCTAAAATTAAATTTAATGTTGATGAATAACCATCTTTACCATTAATTTTCTCGAATAAAGATTCAAAACTATTTTACAAGTTTTTGTACAGGTATATTTCAGAATCATTCCCAATGCTTAATGCTTTTATCTGTACAGTCACATGTTCATGTTAATTTCAGTCCTGTACGTATCAACCCTCACGTATGAAAATATGCATTGGTTTGGATCTTTATTAATTTATATACAGTGAGGAGTAGTCGAAATGTGGTAAGTGTGATTGAGTATACCTAGTTTCCCTTGTATATTGTTGTTGTTATTCGTGTATATTACTGTTACAGTTTAACGTGGACGTCAAAGGTCAAGGACGTGTTGGGTCCAGACTTTGCATTTGTGGACGAGGAGAGAACAAGGGAGACTACTCTGAGGGATCTTTTGACTCACCGCACAGGGTTACAGCCTGCGATCTTGTCCCTGTTTGCTGGACTGGACCAGAACTTAACGAGAACTGATTTTGCCAAGTACACTTTCTTCACATCTGAATATATATTTTTCAGGAAAATGTCACATTTCAGAGTATTTACTTTAGTATGAGAGGGTACTTTGCCCTGTCATCTCAGTCGCCCCAATTCGGCGGCGATTTTCTGTGGTCATTACAATTCCATGTCAAACAGCCGTCTCTCTCTCTCTCTCTCCTCTCTCTCTCTCTCTCTCTCTCTCTCTCTCTCTCTCTCTCTCTCTCTCTCTCTCTCTCTCTCTCAGATGGTAACCATCCCCCGTGCCCCGACTGCGAGCTAGATCCTCAGTCCCACTAAAGCAACCACTAAAACTGGGGACGTCACATTGCCCAAATTGCAAAATGGTTGCACGTTCACATCAAGCAAAACATGATGGCAAATACAGTTCAACCACACAGCCCACCCATACAGTCAAACCAAATTAAAATGTCATTGTGATCTTGACATCTCACACTGTGACAAAGTGACGAAGGAACTTCTGTGGTTTATGCTATTATTGTTCTTTTATACAGACGTTTCCGCTTTCTTCCGGAAGTTAAGCCATCCCGTGACGTCTTCGAGTACAACAACTGGGGGTACGCTCTGCTCGGCCATGTTGTGGAAGTGTTGTCAGGGGAATCCTACGAAGCCACTCTGGAGAAACGAATCTTCAAGCCACTGGGGATGAACCAGTCACGTGTTCTGGGAAAGACGATAACCGTTAATGAACCAGCTTTGGCAAAACCCTACTTTGACATGGAGAACGAGCTCATATTAACCGATCCCTCCATTTACGAGTGAGATAAAACATCACTTTTGCTTAATAATTAATTTGTACAATTGACAAAATAACACTCATTTTCAGATTATGCAGATTATTAAGATTGTCAGGTGGTAGGTTATTCATGTATCTGCGTTAGCTGTTTATCACATTTATCACATTGAGATCAAACAGTTATCAAAAACAACAATGAAACGTACTTTATATCTCCTAAGCACAAATGTTAACAATGCTTCATAATTATAAATCGCCTGAATAACTGCTGTATAGTGAAAGAGTTAATGTTGTTTTAAGCCACATTCATCATTATTCCAACTATTTCAAGGCGAATTGTATATAATCGAATCTAGGCGAGGCAATTCAGTGGTTGATAGCATGAACAACGCTCATCCTTATTATCCTCAACATTTTTTATCTGCTGATCTTGATTCCACGCAGCATACATCCAGGAGAGGCCGCAGGTGCTATTGCGTCATCAGCAGAGGACATGGCTAAATGGATGCACTTCCTGTTGAGGCAAGGGGTGACAGCGGACAACGTCACACTGGTCAAATCTAAAACACTCGCGGAGGTCTTTAAATCTCACGAGAGTATTCCTATCAGTCAATCCTCGTCAAAGCCAAAGTTGCCCGTCGTGGACTTGCAGTATGGCTATGGCTATGCATGGGTCATGTCGAATTATAAGGGTAAGACACAATCCAGAATAAATGTTTGCATAAATGAGTATGCCGTACGCTGCAATTAGCAATATTCAAGTCATAAAACTGCGGAAGACATGAAATTGGCTGTTACCACAGCATTCACAATAGTGATCGTACTGGGTGCCTGGTGTGGCGAACAAACTCAAGCTAAGGCTACCACATCTTCTTGAATATTAGTAAATAATATATTTTGTAATCAATAATAATAATCTATAATGTAATTAAAATGTCAATTGCATGAATAGCAGATCTTAGTTCTCGATACCGCTAACCAGCATCTGAGGGCATCCCATTGCAAGTCGACCTTTTATCTACCTAAATCAGCAATCAGAAAAGAGCTTTCTCGAACTTTACATTTAAAACTTTCGACTTCCATTCCAAACTATGCTTGCAAACATATCTCTTGACTTAGTTCTGAAATAGATGGTTGAGGTTGTATGGCAGTACCTCCCACGGTCTATAGACCAGACCCTGGAGTTTAACATACTACTGTCTTTCGCGAACACCTGGTGTCATCACTGAAGTTCAGTGATCCTTTCAAAAAAAATTCACTGCAATTTTGTCCAACTTAACCAACGCACAATGTCACAATCATGACAAATGTAAGTGGGGTGTTTAGATATCACATTGTTAATGTATTAAATGTTCTATGTTATTTTCCAGGATATAAACAGGTGATGCACACAGGCGGCTTGGTTTCTTACATAACCTGGCTAGGCCTTTACCCCGACATGGAGTTCGGAATCTTTGTAAGTGCCAATGGACCTGGGACAACGGATGAGGAAATTGCAGAAACAGTTATCTCATTCTATATTTCTGATATTTTGATCGGTGATCAACCTTGGCTAAATTCATCCACGGCTTGCACATTCCCTTTGCCATGGTCAAATGTGCCGCCAAATGGTCAAAATAATTCCGACGTCACGAACGCTGAAGTGGAATGCCTTGATTGTTATGTTGGCAAGTACGGGCATTATCTGTTTGGTGACCTTGAAGTTAAGAGTGGGTCAGGGTCGTCATTAGAACTTCACTACAATAGGTTACAGGGTTCTCTCAATACCACAGCTGATAAAAGTATGTTCAAATTGGATGCATGGGGTGCCTATAGGTTGTATTCTCGGCCAGGTAATGCTACGGTTCTTGTACCAGTAAACTTCCATGGGATGAACAAAGGAAAGTATTCACAATGTGACCTCATTTTCCCCCACAAGTTGACATTTAAAAGAGGTATCAGCTTTTATGATAAAAACATATACACAAGTACCAAAACTGAAACAAATGGGCAGACTGTGAAGGAGTTTAGCAATCTTCTGATGGTGTTCGCAGCACTTTGTGTAGTCTTGTTTATGTGGTAGGGACTGTATAATCTTAAGAGTTTGACCTGGAGCATCTTATGACAACAGGATATGTCGCTAAAAATATTGGTAACGTTTGCTTTGTATAAAGTAAATGAAGATTTGTTTTCTAATATGTTACATTTTTTAGGAGGGGGGTCGGTGTCAATAATTGGATTCTGAGATAATAATGAGATGTAATATTTTGTTTCTATTTTACAAGACGATTGTATTTAAGCACAATTTATTAAGTAAGATTAAACTGGTTAATTGTGTAGTTCAAATGTTGATTAATGTTCATCTGATCTGCTTACAATCTTGTTTACTGTGTGTTCAACAGAACATAGGTATTTGGCCTAATTATTTCAAAATAGAACTTTCGTGGTATCAATATCAGTACCTATTGGTAACTGGGGTACTTTGTATAACTTCTCAAGGCCCTGTCGAGAATTTTATTCTAATTTGGGATATCCCTCACATACAAGCAGTCGGTCATGATATTGTTTTAGGTATGTCATAACTCAATGAACTTCAATTGAAGCGACAAAATGAATCGGTGACTAGATACTATTAATATAATTAATTGTCTTTGAGCCGGTATATAAACCCGAGGTGACTTACGTAGATAGATTATTCGTTTCTTCTTAATTCTTTAACGCCGCAACTGGCAATAGTCAAGTTATATTACGGCGGTCTATAAATAATGTGGTATTGATATGATGAACGATCTATGCCGTCGTGGTGTGATGGCACACAGTGAACTAAGTCTCCCGAGCCTGACCGCCCGATCCATTAAGTCATCCGACAAGCATAGGTTGCTGAGGACCTTGGAACCACAATGGGCTCCCTAGGTAGCTGTAGGAAGCAATATTCAATAAATGTATACATATGTTAAGTATATATTGATTTTATCAATAAACAGAGATGAACTGATACTTGTTTTGATGTCCTGTCTAAAACATATTTCGACTCAGATGGTACATTGATTGTGGCTTATTGTGCAGTTTAACAATGTGAACCCTGATTCCACCGGACGTCAAAACCATCAATTTTTCAACATAAGCTCAGTAGCGGCTATTATTAATGCTGAACCAAATACAAAAGAAACCTAACCTCTCCCACTTTGCAAAATTAATTCATTCATCAAACGTTTCTCCTTACACAAAAGCAGCAGAATCTATGTACTTGTACACAGCAAATGTAATATATTAACATATCGTTTTTAGTTGTAACACAATCACTAAATGAGTAAAACCAATACATGTTTTACAGGCTCCAGATATATAACTGGAATACTACTGACTGCAGCGTTAAAAAATTAAAAACAAAACGTACCAGGCAGTTATATTCAAAAAAGCATAAAAAATACATGACGATGCAGACATTTAGTATCGAGGGCGGACAAGCACAGACTCGGGCAGCAACAGTAATTTCAAGGCATCTACCATAATTCTTACATAAAGATTATTAGACAAGTGTGTTTCTGTATCGTTTATACCTCATGTATGACAATTGCATTATGCGCGCCTTTGACGAGAATAAGTATTTTTCTTTTACCTTATATACTGAACCGCAAAAGAAACGTCACCCCAAGTAACATTGCATGAAAAGTTGTCATTTAAATATCTGGGTAATTTTTGTCAAAGTTTCTAAAATTTAACATTACCTTTAAAATTTTAAAATGAAATTTAAAATGAAATTTGATGATAAAAAAAACAAAGCAGATGACAATAAAACCGATCGTCCAAACGCATCACGGCAACGGCCATGGTACACGTGTGGTCCGTGCAAATTGAAATGCACATGCATTCCCCGATTTCTTGCCCTTTAGAAATCCACCCAAATCGGATAACATTTATTCGTTATTGAATTGCTACCACATGGTAGATTGACAAGAAATCAGCGACACCAAGCCCTTGGACGATTGCAAGCTGGACAAACCGCCCGGCAATGTAGCCAATGCATTTCAAGTCAACGAAAGGACCATATACAGGCTCCAGCAACGGTACCAGACCACCAACACTACAGATGACCGACAACGTAGTGGAAGACCAAGGGTCACCACCCGACTCTCAGGATCGTCACATTGTGCGACAGCATCTTCAAGATCGCTTTGTTACTGCTGTGGAAACTGCTCGACAGACCATGGGGACACACCAGCGACACATTTGTGCGGACACCGTGTGTCGACGATTGACGAGCAGACACCCCCACTGACACAGGCCACACCACATAATCGCCGGGACCGCCTACAGTGGCTAACACAGCACCAGCATTGGCGCCACCAGCAGTGGAGAAGAGTCATTTCTGTATCTCAACAGCAGATGGCAGAGAGAGAGAGTCTGGCGACGCCGTGGGGAACGTTATTCGGATCCTTAGGTTGTTGCGAGAGACTCGTGGGGTGGTCCGAGCATCATGGTGTGGGGTCGAATTGGTCTTGCACAGAGGGTCAGCCCTGTGGTCTTCCAGAACATCGGTCCACTGAGAGGCAATGGTGTCACAGCAGCTCGGTATATTGATCAAGTCTTGAGACCACATACCATTCCTCATTTGCCACGTCGCCGCAACCACGAGTTTCAGCATGATAACGTCCGTGCCCACACTGCGAGAGCATCAAGAGACTTCCTCCAGCAGAATGACATCAGACCCATGCAGTGGCCTGCCCTCAGTTCCGATTTTAATCCCATTGAGCACCTGTGGGACGGGATTTAAAGACGGCTGAATGACGTCCGACCAAGGCCGACAACTGCAGCTGAACTGCGTCAGGCGTTCCTCAGAGTGTGGGCTCAAGTGCCAATGGCCTTCATCAACCGCCTCATCCATTCCATGTATCGACGTTGCACGGCACATGGCGGACAGACGAGATACTGACTTGTGATGCCATTTTCTCTGAGACTTTCACTTTAAGAACATTTGACACTTTAATTTCAACCTTGATAATCAATTTTGCCAAGTTTCATCTTTTTACTATGTCTCAAAGTATGTTTACAGTGTTTGGACAAATATGGTTTCTCATATATCTATCCATGGTGCCGTTTCTTTTGCGGTTCAGTATATATGGTATTTATGATGCAGAAAGACTTGAGGTTAAAGTCATTCTTATAATAATCGATGTTTAAGACGCATTTTTACTGAATAAAGTAACTTTAGAAACTGCGTACATTGAGTGAACCGCACCTAAAACAGAGTGGATTGGATTTGTAGCCATGGTTCCCTGCAGAAACAAGCACACATAAAAAATCTCATGTCTGAATACATTGGTAACTGAAGGTATTGGTCAAACAGACATTACATCTCCGTATGGGCCTAAAAGTAGTTCCTGACCTCATTTGCATATTTATCGGATCGTGATACCAAGTTTATCGGATTCTTTTATCAGATCGTTTACAGAATCGAATACATGATAAACAGGAATCTTAATTCAATAACATATTCTGAATTTTAAAAGCTAATTGTTACAATGTAACAGTGTTACGTCTGAAATACACAACGGATGCTTAATAGCTTCTCAATATTGACTTTGCACTTATCAAGAATCAAGTAAAATGATAGGAATATGCACAACAAAGACAAATATATGGAAAATGCTCATCTCAAAGAAAGATCCCTTGAGCCCTTAAGGTTAAGTTCGAATTCCGGTGTTTTTCGGAGTGGTAATTGATGGTTTGGACTTTCCGACTCCGGTAGATGAAGCGGGGACACGGAAGATTATCTTCCCGAGGCAAGAAAGTTAACTGACTTTAAAAGTCCAGTCCCTTGCTGAACTAGGCTGGAATTCCTGGGCTCGATCGTGGCGCCATCAGTGGCTATTACGAGTTATATGTCTCTCCTCTGGACCAATCAGATTCCACCTCTCGTATCAAACTCGTGACAAACCTAGAAACATAATCGGCGCGAAACGGGATTCGAACCCACAATCATAGGTTTCTGGCGTACCCAAGGGACGCAACTCTGCACAGCGAATCGCGGCGCCTTAGGCCATCCGTGGCCCCTGTAATAACGAGTAATAAGACATTTTATTTAACATTTGACTCCACACTGTCCTAAAAATGAATTGAATGTTGTTGAAAAGATTAATTTTCTCGAATGAAGACTCAAAACTATAATAAAAGCTATGTATAGGTATATTTCAGAATCCCACCCGATTCTTTATTCTTTTATCTACAAAATCAAAAGTTCGTGTTTATTTCAGCCCTATAATGGTAAACTCTCACTTATGTATGAAAATACCACCGTCATATGCCTGGAATATTGCTGAGTGTGGCGTTAAACAACAAACAAACAAACGTATGAAAATATAAATTGCTGGGAATCTCTGCAGTTTACATTATTAGTGAATATACAGTGAGGAATAGTCGAAATGTGGTAAGTATGAGTCGGTATACCTAGTTACCCGTCTATATGATTGTTGCTATTTGTGTAAATTACTATTACAGTTTAACATGGACGTCAAAGGTGAAGGACGTCTTGGGTCCAGACTTTGCATTTTTGGATGAGGAGAGAACACGGGACACTACTAGCATCCAACCAGGTGTCCTGGACATCACGCAAGCGCAGGAGGGCAAGTCCAGCAGCTCTTCTGATCCAGGATCTTCCTTGTACTGTACTGCTAATCCAAGATCCTGTGTCTTCCGCCAGATCGCCTGACAATAATGAAAAAAACAACCTTTGACGTCGGCATTCGGGAACTCTGTGTTGACGGCACGAATGGCAGCCTTCTCAAAATCCGTCTGGACAGTGGCAGGAGCGAGGGGACGGTTGAATCTCTGATGGACTTCTGTTTTGAGTCGGCTGAACAGTCTGGTGTAAGTTGTGGTCTGTCTGTCAGGCAGGAGGGCGAAGACAAGTGGGCACATACAGGAACGACTTCTTGCATGTATGATGTATACCTGGTTCCACAGATCTGGGCAAGATGTAAATGTTCCGTCCATGTATACAGTGTCTGCAGACTGCAAAGCTTGGAGTTGGTCATAGGTAGAAAATACAACAATCTTGTTGGCATCGCAATCAGTGAAAAGCAGGAATGGGCGGCTGTCTGTTGTTTCAGTCCAGTTTCCTTCAAGTTGGACTTCAGCTCTTGTCTGTGGGAGTGCTGGGATGTCCTTCCGCCTGTGTCGGTACAAGGCACTGCTCATGGATGGGAACGATGGCAGCAGCTGTGGCTGGTCTTCTGTAGCTAC